GTCTATAGTCTAGTCTATAGTCTAGTCTATAGTCTAGTCTATAGTCTAGTCTATAGTCTAGTCTATAGTCTAGTCTATAGTCTAGTCTATAGTCTAGTCTATAGTCTAGTCTATAGTCTAGTCTATAGTCTAGTCTATAGTCTAGTCTATAGTCTAGTCTATAGTCTAGTCTATAGTCTAGTCTATAGTCTAGTCTATAGTCTAGTCTATAGTCTAGTCTATAGTCTTAGTCTATAGTCTAGTCTATAGTCTAGTCTATAGTCTAGTCTATAGTCTAGTCTATAGTCTAGTCTATAGTCTAGTCTATAGTCTAGTCTATAGTCTAGTCTATAGTCTAGTCTATAGTCTAGTCTATAGTCTAGTCTATAGTCTAGTCTATAGTCTAGTCTATAGTCTAGTCTATAGTCTAGTCTATAGTCTAGTCTATAGTCTAGTCTATAGTCTAGTCTATAGTCTAGTCTTAGTCTAGTCTATAGTCTAGTCTATAGTCTAGTCTATGTCTAGTCTATAGTCTAGTCTATAGTCTAGTCTATAGTCTAGTCTATAGTCTAGTCTATAGTCTAGTCTATAGTCTAGTCTATAGTCTAGTCTATAGTCTAGTCTATAGTCTAGTCTATAGTCTAGTCTATAGTCTAGTCTATAGTCTAGTCTATAGTCTAGTCTATAGTCTAGTCTATAGTCTAGTCTATAGTCTAGTCTATAGTCTAGTCTATAGTCTAGTCTATAGTCTAGTCTATAGTCTAGTCTATAGTCTAGTCTATAGTCTAGTCTATAGTCTAGTCTATAGTCTAGTCTAGTCTATAATCTAGTCTATAGTCTAGTCTATAGTCTAGTCTATAGTCTAGTCTATAGTCTAGTCTATAGTCTAGTCTATAGTCTCGTCTATAGTCTAGTCTATAGTCTAGTCTATAGTCTAGTCTATAGTCTAGTCTATAGTCTAGTCTATAGTCTAGTCTATAGTCTAGTCTATAGTCTAGTCTATAGTCTAGTCTATAGTCTAGTCTATAGTCTAGTCTATAGTCTAGTCTATAGTCTAGTCTATAGTCTAGTCTATAGTCTAGTCTATAGTCTAGTCTATAGTCTAGTCTATAGTCTAGTCTATAGTCTAGTCTATAGTCTAGTCTATAGTCTAGTCCTAGTCTAATCTATAGTCTAGTCTATAGTCTAGTCTATAGTCTAGTCTATAGTCTAGTCTATAGTCTAGTCTATAGTCTAGTCTATAGTCTAGTCTATAGTCTAGTCTATAGTCTAGTCTATAGTCTAGTCTATAGTCTAGTCTATAGTCTAAGTCTATAGTCTAGTCTATAGTCTAGTCTATAGTCTAGTCTATAGTCTAGTCTATAGTCTAGTCTATAGTCTAGTCTATAGTCTAATCTAGTCTAGTCTATAGTCTAGTCTATAGTCTAGTCTATAGTCTAGTCTATAGTCTAGTCTATAGTCTAGTCTATAGTCTAGTCTATAGTCTAGTCTATAGTCTAGTCTATAGTCTAGTCTATAGTCTAGTCTATAGTCTAGTCTATAGTCTAGTCTATAGTCTAGTCTATAGTCTAGTCTATAGTCCAGTCTATAGTCTAGTCTAGTCTAGTCTATAGTCCAGTCTATAGTCTAGTCTATAGTCTAGTCTATAGTCTAGTCTATAGTCTAGTCTATAGTCTAGTCTATAGTCTAGTCTATAGTCTAGTCTATAGTCCAGTCTATAGTCTAGTCTATAGTCTAGTCTATAGTCTAGTCTATAGTCTAGTCTATAGTCTAGTCTATAGTCTAAGGAAAATTAATTTAGCACTTTAAAACCTATATAAACAGTACCATTTTTGGTTTAAGTTAGTACTATTTCAAAATTTCAGTTTTCTATGCCTGGCATATGGATAACTTACCTTTGTTTGTTATTGTTGCTGTGTCCTGATTTGGCAGCTCAAACACAATAATTAAATTTTTCTCTTCTTCAAATAATTTGATTTATGTAATAACAACAACATATAAATGATTTGCTAAAACATATACCCCCTCTTACACTCCCCACTCAACAACAATCTCTTTCGTTTTTGGCTGCTTACGAATGGCGATGGAAACCAAGAAACAACGATCGTCTTCTAACTGTTGTTTTAACAACTTTGGCAAATTGCTTATTTTCTTTAAATTTTCTAACACTTTTTTCACTCATATAAAATTTTTTCATAAATATTTTTATATACCGAAATAAATTAACATTTGTTTAATATTAAACAACAAAAATATTTTATTATTAACATTTAATTGACGTTTTAGAAACAACGGCTGCCTTCTAACGATTGCTTTAACAAATTTGGCAAATTGCACATTTTTATTAAATTTTCCAACACTTTTTCACTTTTTTCTTAAATTTTTTCATAAATATTTTTATATACCGTAATAAATTAACATTTGTTTAATATTAAACCAAAAAAATATTTTATTATTAACAATTAATTAACGTTTTAGCTTAATTTAAACAGTACCATTAAGCGTAAACAACCGAACACTTTAGAAATATTAAGAAAACTAATGAAATGGAACAATAACAAAAAAACATCCATCACTTATTGCAGTTGTTGTTATTGTTAGTAGATATTAGCTCTTCAAATAGAGTACTAATAATAACAACAACAATGACAATTTCTATTGCCATTTGTTGCTTTAGTTATTCGTCTTCTTCTTTAGTTTCTAAAAATGTCTAAAGTGTTCGGTTGTTTAGTGTTGATAGTCCTGTTTAAATTAATCTAAAGCGTAAATTAATTGTTAATATTTAAATAAATTTGTTAAACATTTTTTATAAATACCGTTATGTACATATTTTTATAAAATGTGTTAAATTATTAGTTTATAAAAGTGTTTTAAAATTTGCCAAAAATACAATGCAATTTTGTTAGGCCGAGCGCTGGTCGTTTTTTTCTTTTATCGGGCCATTCGTTTTGTTAAGTGATGAGAAAGCGTTAATCAAAGGAGGGGTAGTGAGATAGTTTGGAAAGAAAACAAGTAGGAGTCCTATATTCGGCTGTGCCGAATCTTATATACCCTTCACCATAGTGTATTTAAAAAATATGTATAAATTTTATAAAATTTAAATTTATTTCATTTTCCCGACTGTCATTATTATAGCAATAGCAAAACAAAATGAACAACAACAATGCTAAACGAAATAAACACACAAAAAACAAAATACAGAAGGCAGTAAAAACAACAGCCATCCAAACATACGAAACGAAATATACAAAAAAAAAACAAAAACAAAATGCACAATGCAATGAAACCAACAGACATCCAAACATACGAAAATGAATACACCAAGAAACAAAAACAATATGCACAAGGCAATGAAACACACAGCCATCCAAACATACGAAACGAAATACTCAAAAACAAAATCAAAGCATAAAAAATTGTCTTTTTTATGAAATTTTCACAAGTTGTCTGGGATTTTTGCTATATCTCCGTTGTTTATGGACGAATTTTGCTGATTTTAAATAGGAAAAGGTGTGAAAAATAATGAAAAAAGTTAAAGAAACAGCATTGGTGGGTATAAATGTATATATGTATGTGTTGCAAAGTGGAAATATTGTTTTTGTATGTAAGGAAATACGAACAGGTGAATATCGTTATTTGAACAACAAAAGATAAAGGTGAGTGATTTGTAATATCTAGTAGGTACAAATTGTTTTTGTCTTGTCTATAGACAAGTCTATAGTCTTGACTATAGACAAGTCTATAATCTTGACTATAGACAAGTCTATAGTCTTGACTATAGACAAGTCTAAAGTCTTGACTATAGACAAGTCTATAATCTTGACTATAGACAAGTCTATAATCTTGACTATAGACAAGTCTATAATCTTGACTATAGACAAGTCTATAGTCTTGACTATAGACAAGTCTATAGTCTTGACTATAGACAAGTCTATAATCTTGACTATAGACAAGTCTATAATCTTGACTATAGACAAGTCTATAATCTTGACTATAGACAAGTCTATAATCTTGACTATAGACAAGTCTATAGTCTTGACTATAGACAAGTCTATAGTCTTGACTATAGACAAGTCTATAATCTTGACTATAGACAAGTCTATAATCTTGACTATAGACAAGTCTATTGTCTTGACTATAGACAAGTCTATAGTCTTGACTATAGACAAGTCTATAGTCTTGACTATAGACAAGTCTATAGTCTTGACTATAGACAAGTCTATAGTCTTGACTATAGACAAGTCTATAGTCTTGACTATAGACAAGTCTATAGTCTTGACTATAGACAAGTCTATAGTCTTGACTATAGACAAGTCTATAGTCTTGACTATAGACAAGTCTTTAGTCTTGACTATAGACAAGTCTATAGTCTTGACTATAGAACAGTCTATAGTCTTGACTATAGAAATGTCTATAGTATTCTATAGTATAGTCTTCAGTCCAGTCTATAGACTAGACTATAGATTAGACTATAGACTAGAATATAGACTAGACTATAGACTAGACTATAGACTAGACTATAGACTAGACTATAGACTAGACTATAGACTAGACTTTAGAATAGACTATATACTAGACTATAGACTAGTCAATAGACTAGACTATAGACTAGAATATAGACTAGACTATTAGACTATAAAATTTATCGATAACTTCGGTTTTCCTAAAGAAAACATTTCGATAACTTTGTTATTCCTTAGAAAGGTATCGATAACTTTGCTTGACCTTAATAAAACTCGTATTATTTTAGTTTTTGTTTATTTTATTATACTTTTTTTTTATTAAATTAAGTATATTTTTATTTATGTAGTACAATCACTTTTGTTTTTGTATTTATTTCTTTACCTTTATTGATTATAATAATATATTTTTGTTGTTTTAATAAAGATTAATATTTAAATTTTTTCATTTGTTTATATTATTTTATCTTGAAAGATTATTAAGACAAAAAAATTGTAATATGAGTTTAGAGTTTGACTAAAAGAGGGACAAATGAAAAATAAAACAACAATTATAAAAAGCACAGTATAGATTTTAAATTTTATTAATTTTTTTTTTAAAGAGAAAATTATAACACAATAAGGCAGGTTTTTTTATTAATAATTTTAATATTTTTGTAATAAGAAAGCAATTAATTAAAGCAAATGAAATTGTAAATAGTTTACACTAAACTAAGTTTAATTTAAATAGAAATTGGGAGGCTTTGTTCAATATTAACAATTGCTTTTAGGGGGGGGTGGGGTAGAGAAAAGAGTATCTTAATAAAACATAATTTTGTTTTAAACTATAAACTTAATATTTATAAACAATTTGGCAAACTATGATAAATGTTTAAAGAAAAAAAACCTTTATTTGTGCTGGATATTTTTTATTATTTTATAAAAAAAATATATATGAGATGAGAAAAACAGAATTTTATTCTGAAATCTTGTGTTTTATATTTTCAAAGAGCGAAAAAAATGGAATACCCTGACATAAACTAATATGTACCAGACATTTATGAGAATGTTGAGATAATTAAATTAAAATTAAACAAAAACATAAAAAAATATAATAAAAATAAAATTATTTTAAAAAAAAATATTTAAAATTCTTTAGCTTTCACATTTAACTACAATTGTTTCATTTCATATTTATATACACTACTACCATTACACAAAAATACCTTAATTAAAGAAAATATATTTAATAAATTTCAAAATTATTTGAAAAAAAAATATCACATTTTTAAATTATCAAAATTAAAGCAAAAAAATAACATTAAATCACCATTTGTAGAATGAAATGTTTAAAGAACAAACAAAAATAGTATAAACTTTACAATAGAACCTTAATAAAAAAAATTAAGAAAAATGTTTATAACTTTGTTACTTTATAACTTGTTGTATAAATGTTTTCGTATTTTGATTTAAATAATTTTCATTAGAATATGTATGTATGTATTTATTTTTTAATTGTTAATTTTATAAATCCTGATGTTTGTTTACTTTTGCCAAATATTTTCGTTTCTTACTTCACTTTGACTTTCTTTCTCCTTATTGTATTTTGTTTAATAAGTTTTTGTATTTTAAGAAGTAATTTTTTTAGTTGAGAGTAAAATATTTGTCAAGCTTTCATTTTTTGAATATAAATTTGTTTGCTGGTATAAATATTTTGTTGTTGTTATTTTTTAGTATTTGAGTTTATCTTATTGTTTGTTTGTTAATATTATTGCAAAAATATTTGTTTGTTTTTAAATATTTTTTTTTTTTTAATTTTTTGTTTGTAACAAGCAAATTTATAGGGGATAGCCTAAAGCAGCCGATAGTAGAGGTTCCCATGAACGATTAATATCCATATATAACATAGTACACTGCTCAGCAATAATATCATCTTCGTCGAGGACTGTTATAGGAAATAGATCATTCTGAAAGGAAAATTATAAAATTTTTAAAATTTTTCATAAAATTTGTATAATTTTATCTACAGACTATACTATACGCTAGACTATAGAGTCAAAACTAGTGTAGTCTAGTCTATAGTCTAGTCTGTAGTCTAGTCTGTAGTACAGTCTAGTCTACAGTCTAGTCTATAGTCTAGTCTATAGTCTAGTCTATAGTCTAGTCTATAGTCTAGTCTATAGTCTAGTCTATAGTCTAGTCTTTAGTCTAGTCTATAGTCTAGTCTATAGTCTAATCTATAGTCTAGTCTATAGTCTAATCTATAGTCTAGTCTATAGTCTAAACTATAGTCTAGTCTATAGTCTAGTCTATAGTCTAGTCAATAGTCTAGTCTATAGTCTAGTCTATAGTCTAGTCTATAGTCTAGTCTATAGTCTAGTCTATAGTCTAGTCTATAGTCTAGTCTATAGTCTAGTCTATAGTCTAGTCTATAGTCTAGTCTATAGTCTAGTCTATAGTCTAGTCTATAGTCTAGTCTATAGTCTAGTCTATAGTCTAGTCTATAGTCTAGTCTATAGTCTAGTCTATAGTCTAGTCTATAGTCTAGTCTATAGTCTAGTCTATAGTCTAGTCTATAGTCTAGTCTATAGTCTAGTCTATAGTCTAGTCTATAGTCTAGTCTATAGTGTAGTCTATAGTCTAGTCTATAGTCTAGTCTATAGTCTAGTCTATAGTCTAGTCTATAGTCTAGTCTATAGTCTAGTCTATAGTCTAGTCTATAGTCTAGTCTATAGTCTAGTCTATAGTCTAGTCTATAGTCTAGTCTATAGTCTAGTCTATAGTCTAGTCTATAGTCTAGTCTATAGTCTAGTCTATAGTCTAGTCTAGTCTATAGTCTAGTCTATAGTCTAGTCTATAGTCTAGTCTAGTCTAGTTATAGTCTATTCTATAGTCTAGTCTATAGTCTAGTCTATAGTCTAGTCTATAGTCTAGTCTATAGTCTAGTCTATAGTCTAGTCTATAGTCTAGTCTATAGTCTAGTCTATAGTCTAGTCTATAGTCTAGTCTATAGTCTAGTCTATAGTCTAGTCTATAGTCTAGTCTATTGTCTAGTCTATAGTCTAGTCTATAGTCTAGTCTATAGTCTAGTCTATAGTCTAGTCTATAGTCTAGTCTATAGTCTAGTCTATAGTCTAGTCTATAGTCTAGTTTATAGTCTATTCTATAGTCTAGTCTAGTCCATAGTCTAGTCTATAGTCTAGTCTATAGTCTAGTCTATAGTCTAGTTTATAGTCTATTCTATAGTCTAGTCTATAGTCTAGTCTATAGTCTAGTCTATAGTCTAGTCTATAGTCTAGTCTATAGTCTAGTCTATAGTCTAGTCTATAGTCTAGTCTATAGTCTAGTCTATAGTCTAGTCTATAGTCTAGTCTATAGTCTAGTCTATAGTCTAGTCTATAGTCTAGTCTATAGTCTAGTCTATAGTCTAGTCTATAGTCTAGTCTATAGTCTAGTCTATAGTCTAGTCTATAGTCTATTCTATAGTCTAGTCTATAGTCTAGTCTATAGTCTAGTCTATAGTCCAGTCTATAGTCCAGTCTATGGTCCAGTCTATAGTGAAGTCTATAGTGTAGTCTATAGTCTAGTCTATAGTTTAGTCTATAGTCTAGTCTATAGTCTAGTCTATAGTCTAGTCTATAGTCTAGTCTATAGTCTAGTCTATAGTCTAGTCTATAGTCTAGTCTATAGTCTATAGTCTAGTCTATAGTCTAGTCTATAGTAGTCTAGTCTAGTCTAGTCTAGTCTATAGTCTAGTCTAGTCTAGTCTATAGTCTAGTCTATAGTCTAGTCTATAGTCTAGTCTATGGTCTAGTCTATAATCTAGTCTATAGTCTAGTCTTAATTCTAGTCTATAGTGTAGTTTTCGAGCCTTTCCCCTTTGAAAACCTTTTCATCCCAAAAAAAAATCATACTTACATTTTTAGCCTGCCATAGTTTCTCCAACAATCTTAAGAATCGTTGCATTTCAGTGCTGCTAGCAAAAAATATCACCAAATCATCGGAACACTCACGAACCTCCTGACAAGAAAATTCCAAAATACACCACCAGGTCTCGTTAAGCGAGGGAATTTTAATGCCAGTCATCTCTTTAATATCGGCACAAGTTAATATCTCTAAACCGGAATTTTTACCATAAACACTGCTCATGGTCGAAAGGCGGGACGAAGATGTTGGTGGTGGTGAGGATGACGATTGTGAGGGCTGCTGCTGTTGTTGTTGTTGCTGCTGCAGTTGAAGATCATTGGTATTATTGGTGTTGGTGGTGTGTGTGGGTTGAGTACGTTTCGAATTGGTGGTTGTGGATACAGAGGATTGTGTAGCATTACTAGCTAACGAGGATGTAGTAGCTAAGGTGGTATGACATGTGGTTGTGGAACGTGATAGTTGCGACAGTTTGGTTGGTGTTGAATTTACCGATGACGATGAACGTTGTGTATTACGTGTGGGTGTGCTCATGGCGGAACTTAACTATATAGGAGGGACGGGGGATAACACACAGATAGAGATAGCAAATATACATAGGAATTAGCTAAATTGTTTTCAAACTACATTTATCGACTTTCAACTTACCAAGCTGCCAGTTTCCTGTTGATAAGGATTTAAGTCGTCTTCCGTTTTGTTTGATGCACCTGCAGCAGTTTCTATTTCATTATTTTGTTCTGGTTTTCGGTTGATTTTTCTTAGAGGAGATAGGAAATCTTCTCTTAAAGTTATTAAATGATTTTGTGTAACCACCAAGGTACAGCCCAAGGTTTTGTGTTTTTCTTGCATTTCAAAAAGCTGGAAATTAAGTTGTTTATTATATAAAGAATTAAGTTTTTTGGTATCTTTCAAAGTAACCTACCCCACTGGCTGATTGTAACAAAGCCTGTAACCATTCGGAAGCCACATACTCATCGGGAGCAGCCAGCTGCAAAAGCATTTTATTTTTCAGCATTATTTCGAAACAGTGAGGTCTTTGAGCTTTGACCGCTCTTCTAGCACCCTGACACTCGGCCAAAGCCATGGCCCAACTGGGGATTTTTTGTGTGGAATCATTAAACATGTACAGAACTCCAGCTCTAAAATCAATAAAATGAAAATTATTGTTAGACTAGACTGTACTATAAACTAGAATCTAGACTATACTATAGACTAGACTATAGACTAGACTATAGACTAGACTATAGACTAGACTGTAGACTAGACTATAGACTAGACTATAGACTATAGACTAGACTATAGACTAGACTATAGACTAGACTATAGACTAGACTATAGACTAGACTATTGACTAGACTATAGACTGTACTATAGACTAGACTATAGACTAGACTATAGACTAGACTATAGACTAGACTATAGACTAGACTATAGACTAGACTATAGACTAGACTATAGACTAGACTATAGACTAGACTATAGACTAGACTATTGACTAGACTATAGACTGGACTATAGACTAGACTATAGACTAGACTATAGACTAGACTATAGACTAGACTATAGACTAGACTATAGACTAGACTATAGACTAGACTATAGGCTAGACTATAGACTAGACTATAGACTAGACTATAGACTAGACTATAGACTAGACTATAGACTAGACTATAAACTAGACTATAGACTAGACTATAGACTAGACTTTAGACTAGACTATAGACCAGACTATAGACTAGACTATAGACTAGACTATAGACTAGACTATAGACTAGACTATAGATCAGACTATAGACTAGACTATAGACTAGACTATAGACTAGACTATAGACTAGACTATAGACTAGACTATAGACTAGACTATAGACTAGACTATAGACTAGACTATAGACTAGACTATAGACTAGACTATAGGCTAGACTTTAGACTAGACTATAGACTAGACTATAGACTAGACTATAAACTAGACTATAGACTAGACTATAGACTAGACTATAGACTAGACTATAGACCAGACTATAGACTAGACTATAGACTAGACTATAGACTAGACTATAGACTAGACTATAGACCAGACTATAGACTAGACTATAGACTAGACTATAGACTAGACTATAGACTAGACTATAGACTAGACTAGACTATAGACTATAGACTATAGACTAGACTATAGACTAGACTATAGACTAGACTATAGACTAGTCTTTAGACTAGACTATAGACAGACTAGACTATAGACTAGACTATAGACTAGACTATAGACTAGACTATAGACTAGACTATAGACTAGACTATAGACTAGACTATAGACTAGACTATAGACTAGACTATAGACTAGACTATAGACTAGACTATAGACTAGACTATAGACTAGACTATAGACTAGACTATAGACTAGACTATAGACTAGACTATAGACTAGACTATAGACTAGACTATAGACTAGACTATAGACTAGACTATAGACTAGACTATAGACTAGACTATAGACTAGACTATAGACTAGACTATAGACTAGACTATAGACTAGACTATAGACTAGACTATAGACTAGACTATAGACTAGACTAGACTAGACTAGACTATAGACTAGACTATAGACTAGACTATAGACTAGACTATAGACTAGTCTATAGACAATACTATAGATTAGAATATAGACTAGACTATAGACTAGACTATAGACTAGACTATAGACTAGACTATAGACTAGACTATAGACTAGACTATAGACTAGACTATAGACAAGACTATAGACTAGACTATAGACTAGACTATAGACTAGACTATAGACTAGACTATAGACTAGACTATAGACTAGACTATAGACTAGACTATAGACTAGACTATAGACTAGACTATAGACTAGACTATAGACTAGACTATAGACTAGACTATAGACTAGACTATAGACTAGACTATAGACTAGACTATAGACTAGACTATAGACTAGGCTATAGACTAGACTATAGACTAGACTATAGACTAGACTATAGACTAGACTATAGACTATACTATAGAATAGACTATCGATTAGTATTTGTTATTTGCAAAACTTACTTTAATAGAAAATATCCTGGATTCCAAGAATGTTTGGAATTACCCATATGCTCTTTAATGCGTCGATGCATGAGGAAACCTTTGGCATGTGGACCCAGAGGCTCTTGATCCCCAGGATCATTTATGGCAGAACCGGGTACATTCACGACTGCATAATACATCCAGGTATCAGATTTGCCCACACAAGAATTTTCCCTAACAAAATGTTGCAAAGGGGCCAAATGATCCAATGTAAGCTGACCCACTGCGGGTAGTGTAGAACCACTGCGTCTAGCACACAATTCCAAATTAGCCACTAAACCAGCTGCCGGATAAGGACCGCCAGCCAACAGCACCTGCTGCATGTCCCTATTATTATTCGAAAGTAACACTGTATTGCCATAAGGACCCATCTGGAAAGTAAACAAAAGTTAATAAAAAAAATTCCTAAAATCTCATTAAATCTCCTTATTACCAATATAACATCCAAGTCCTTGTAGGCCAAAACAAATTTTGAGCATAAACGATTTCTTACCAAATCGGTAACATACAACGTTTTATCAGTTAATAGAACCAAAACAGGCGTCATATAACCCTCCTTACTATAGCCCGTGTACAATTTGAAAACCTTCATCAATTGTTCACTCTCATCGCGTAGAATGTGCAATTGAACACCCGCAAAAACATCTATCGATATTTCGCCTATGCCCAATTCGAAACGTGACAAATCTCCTGGAAGATCGGCATCTAAACTAGTCAATTCTTTGCGTGGAGAATTAACGCCAGACATTTCGATTTCCATGGCAATTTCTGCATTCAAATCATCGATTAATTCTAAATTGCGCGGCTTGGCGCCCTTAACATACAAATTGCCCGTCAGCAGTTTCTGTTCGTTTTTCAATTTGTGCGCAAAGAAATTGTTGCGTCGTATTGAGGATTCGAGTATTTTCTTTTGTGTCACGTTGCGCAAGAAACGATTGATAAGCGATGTCTTGGCTGGTGGCTGTGATGGTGGTTTTAAGAGATTATTATAGTCAGCCATCGCACTCTGGCGGTCGCTGACATCGTGATAGTCCACAATAACAATATCACTTTCATTGCGCTCCGTATCAGTGGTTATGGTCAGAATATCATCGAATTCTTCACTTAAAATAGTACTCTTAGAATCACGACCACACCCACCCCTAGCACCCATATAATTGTTGTAGATATCAGGACTTAGTGCTGAGTAATCAGTTGTTGGCGGTACACTGCAGCCATAGCGTGGCGGCTGCTGTTGTTGTATGAGATTTGAGCCATTGCCACTTAAACGTTTCTTCAGCGGTGATGGCAAGTGTCGCGATTGTTTGTCCAGATTGGTGCGATAATCAGCCCCGATGGCCAGACTTTCTCTTTGTGCTGGTGTTGTCGTGGAGGAACCACCACTGCCGCTGGCTATGCCACTGGTTAAGGAAGTGCTTGACTTTTGATGTTGTAGCATCGCTTGTGTATTAGAATTGGAAGTATTAGTATTAGTTGTTAGTTCAGATATGGTGGATGATGATGTTGTGTTGGGGAATTTAGAGAGTTTTGTTGGAGTACTATTGGCTAAAGGTGTGGGGATATTGTTGGGTTTTTTGGGCATTTTAAGAGCTGAGAGAGAGAAAAGAGGAGAAAATTAAAGAAAATAAAATTATAATGTAAACAAAATTTCTGAAAAATAAATAATGATCAAATGAATCTCTTAAGGCGGGGGGATTTCAAATGGTAGATGGAACTAATCCATATATAATTTGAATTTCTAATATAACTTTTCAAAAATTCGATTTTTGTTTTCTATTTGATTGCGAATCAAATATTTGGAAGCTTTTACAAAATATTAAAGTAATTTTAAGCTTTTAGAAAGCTTTCAAGTTTAAAAATTATTCAAAACTTTTTGTAAGCATCTAAAACGGTTTTTCTAAGCTTTTTATTAGAAAACTTTATATCGAAAAGCTTTTTATTGAAAATGCTTAAAAAGAACTTTTTATTGGAAATGCTTTAAAACAATTCTTATTGAAAATGCTTTAGAAAGAATTTGTTGAAAAGTTTAAAATAGAAATCCTTACAGAGCTTTAATTGAAATATACATTTTAAAGCTTTTAATTTAAAAAAAAACTTCTAATTTAAAAAGTTCTAGAAAGCTTTGAATTGAAAAAAATTATTGCTAAAAGAGGTTGAAAAATTTTATTGAAAAAGCTTAATATCGAAAAAAGCTTTAGAAAGCTTTATATTGTTATGTTCAGAAGCTTTTTATTGAAAATGTTTTTTTCAAAAAACCTTTTTAGTGTAAAACTTTTTGATGAAAAAGCTCAAATAAAGCTTTTTACTGAAAATATTTCAAAAAGCTTTTTTGTTTTTTGTCCCAAAATGCTTTTTAATGTAAATTAAAAAAAAAAAACTTTTTACTGAAAAAGCTTCAAAAACCTTTTAATGCAAAAGCCAAAAAAAAATTTTTAGCGAAAAAAACTTAAAAAAGTTTTTAGTGAAAAAAGCTTTTTATTAAAGAACTTTTCTTTTGTAAAAAAGCTTAAAATGCACTGTAGTGAAAAAACTTAAACAATTTTTTTTTTTGCGAAAAAGCCTAAGCAAGCTTTTTTGATGAAAATATTTCAAAAAACATTTTTGTCAAAATGTCCCAAAATGAAAATTAAAAAAACTTTTTTGTGAAAAAGTTTCAAAAACCTTTTTAATGCAAAAGCCTAAAAAACTTTTTTAGCGAAAAAAGCTTAAAAAAGTTTTTAGTGAAAAAAGCTTTTTATTAGATAAATTTTTTAGTCAAAAAGCTTAAAAGAGATTTTTAGTCAAAACCTTTTTAGTGAAAAAGCATAAATGTGCTTTTTAGTGTAAAAGCTTAAAAATGCTTTTTAGTCAAAAAGCTTAAAAAAGATTTTTAGTCAGGAAAAAAGCCTAAAAAAGCTTTTTAGGCAAAAAGTTTAAAAAAAATTTTAATCAAAAGCTCAAAAAAGTTTTTAGTGAAAATCTTTTAAATTTAGCTTTTCGGGTAAACTAATATTTTGATATTACTGAAAAGTATCAACAAGTTTTTTAGTGAAAATCTAAAAAAAGATTAAAAGCTTTATTGCGGAAAAGCTGTATTGCGAAAAAGCTTTTTTACAAAAAAGCTTTATTGTGAAAAAGCTTAAAAAAAATTACTGAAACACTTCAAAGAAGTGTTTTAATGAAAATCTTTTATATATATGTAAGCTTTTATACAGGGAAAACCTTTTAAAGAAGCTTTTATATTAAAAAATGTTTTAACAAATTTCGGTTTCCACTAAATTACATCTACCACTTGAAACCCTTTCTCTTACAACCACCAACTCCTCCTTAAACTTACCAAAATAATTGTCCGTAGCCTGTTGCAATTGTTTAGCCTCCTCTTGTGCACGATTCTTAGTAGACAACTTCTTAGGTGAGGTTTGCTGTTGATGTTGTTTCTCTTTGCCAGCATCTTTGAAACTGCGAAAGAAATTCGAAAATGTCTTCGCTATGGGCGCAGAGATAAACGCTGAACGTAATTGATCCGGTTCTGGTTGAGCAATGGGTGTATCTTTTTCAATTAAACTAGCAATACTGCCTTGAGAATCTTCCATATTGGTGAGATCATTGAACGAAGATGATTCATAGCAATACGAAACGCCAGTATGTTCGAAAACAGTGCTCTCACAGTTGATAATGAATTTATTGCGAAATGGTGTACGTTCTGAGGTTTCACAAGCTGAAGTGGCGGCCGAATTGGCAGCAGAGGTGGCGAGCGAAGAAGATGATGAGTTGTTATCAAGTTCGGTGGCATCGAACTCTTGCTGCCGCTGCAGTTGATGGGGTGTGGTTGTGGTAGAATCTTTTTGATTTTTCTCATCACTGTTTTGTCTGGTAGGGGCATAGATGTCCTCCTCTTTTTTGCGTCTTAATTGCTCATCAACATTGTGCACAAATTTCTTAATGGGTTGCTGTTGCTTGGAACCATCTAGGCTTTTGCTGAGAAAAGGTTTCTGTTTAAGGGGTGGCGATTCAGAGAGCTGCTGTGAATCTTGCGAGTCTTGTGTGGCGGTTTTATGTTCTGGAGTTTGTTGTTCCAATTCAGCCACACATTCTATTACAGATTGTAGATCCTCAGAACCCTCGGGTACTCCTCTTTCGGGCAAAGGCATAGTGAATATACTTTTCAAGGAACCAAATATCATTTTACTGCTATTATCGAGCAATTGATTCATATCGTGTACATTAAATTTCTTCATTTTAGTAGTAAGATCTTGTTCATGTATAATATTGGTTTGGCATTTGGATTTTTTCAAACAACTAGATTTGGGTTTCTTTTCCTTATTCCACACAGATTTCTGGCGAGGAGGACTTTCGTTAATGTCAATATTGGGTTCAGAGTAATAGCAATTTTCACCTGTTGGTAGTAGGAATAAAGATAATTAATTACACATGTTTTTAAAAGGTTAGTATGACTTGCCTATGAAATTATTATTGGCATTATTGGCTGCCCCTATACAATCACAGGAACTGCTTTTAGCCTGACCATATTGTTGCTGCTGTTGCTGTGTATTGGAATTTTTATCATTTTCATCGGAATCTAGACTAGAATTCGAACTGGAACAAGAGCATTTATATAGTTCTGGTTTATTTTCCGGCTTTTCCTCACACTTGCCGGTCTTGTCCTCATTCAGTTCTTTGGGCATGTATTCAAATACCCCCGAATTGTCGTACTGTAAGGCTGCACTATCATTCATATCATAAACATCCGAATTGCCATAGTCTAAAACATCTGAACAGGCATTACGATATACCACACGCCGTCTACGTTTGGTTACATCTTCATTAGCGCCATCTTCTGACTCTTGATGATGCGATATTTCCGTAGGCTGCTGCTTATCACCTTCGGAACACCAGGAATAGCGACCTGCCTGACCCACAAGAGGAGCCATTTTGCGTACACCTCCCGCCTTATAGGTTATAAAACCATGCTCTATGTGTATGTTATCGGTGCGAGTATTTTTCAAAATATCTTCATGGAATGAAACTCGTTTTTTGGGTGCCTTAGCTATATTAGGACTTTTGCGTACTTTACGGCGAAATACTATATTTTCGGTAGTATCAAAAGTGGACATTTGACTAGTAGTCATGGCCTCCTCTACCACGGTGGAGGGTACCGCCGAGACCGTGGTTATATTCGAGTTGGAATCCATAACAGTGGTCTCCTCGGCGGCATTTAACAATAAAGCCTCTTTAGATTTTTCCAATTTAGCAGCCGCCACTTTAGCTTCCTCAAACTCAAAGCCTGTCTGTGAACTAATAGATTCCACCATTAATTCACTAGATTCCGAATCTAACATTTGTACACCCGAATCACTGGGTGTGGTGTCTTCCAAAGTACTATTCATACTGGTAGACATTTTATCTACATAATTAAGATTAGTACTAATTGTATCTGTAGTTGTTTTCGTATTCAAACGTTGTTGCGTACGTTCCGTTTGTTGAGCCGCATAAAGCGGTGACTCCATTACAACATCATAGGCCGTGGGTGGTCTCTCCACTAGTGTCTCTGTGTATATTGAAAGTTAAGTAGTAGTTGAGGAGCTAGTTTTATATACTAAAAGGTTTCTTTGGGAAATTTTATATACAAAACAAAACTTTTTTTAAGGATGTAAAGGAAATGATGGGTTTTTTGTTTCTTTTGTAATTTTGAGTGCTTTTTTTAGCCGATTATTTGTAGGTGTTTGGTGTGTTGCTAAAATGTTGATGCTTATCTTTAAAAATAAACATTAAAAATATTAGAATTTCAGGATTTCTGCAAATAAATTAAAAAGAAACAAAACAAAATAAAGAAATAACATAAATAAAAACGGGATAAAATAAACAAAACATCACTAATATGACATCTCGAAGGACCAACAGTTTTCCATTCATCCATTTTGCTAATAATATGAAAGAGAAGATAAGCAATTAAAAAAAGAAGTAGGTGGCAGTAGGTTTCTTCCCGAAGTCGTGTCAAAGTGAAACTCTGCTCACTATCAAGTTAATATTATTCTTCGAAATAAAAGTTCTAATATTATCTTTTATAATAACATTAGAAAATTAAACTATTTCATGGCTAATTATCTGTAAATATATTGACTGATAACACTTCATTCATAAACACTTATAAACAAACATATTTAGATAAGATTAATTAATACAAAATATTCGCACTTTCAAATTATAATTATATTATTAAAGGTAGAAAAAGGTTTATAGGGTTCACCAGAAAAGTGATAAAGTCTGTAAAATGTATTTAATTAAAACAATAAAGTTTCGTTAAGTTTTAAAATGTCTAAAAAATTTCAAAAAAACTCACGAATTTAAATATTTACTATTGAATACTAAACAAATTTACAAAAAATAGTTTTCAAATGCTTTGGATTTAGAAAATAATGTTTCGTTAAGTTTTTTAAAAGTCCAAAATATGAAAAAGTACATGGATTTTAATAGTAGCCTATGAATACTAACAGAATTGAAGAAAAATATTTTTCAAATGCTTTGGGTTTAGAAAATAATGTTTCGTTAAGTTTTTTAAAACTCTAAAAATTTAAAAAAATTGTGCTTTTCAATATTAGCCTATGAATACTAAACGATTTTAATAAAAAATTTTTTCAAATCCTTTGGGTTTAGAAAATAAAGTTTCGTTAAGTTTTTTAAAAGTCCAAAAATTTTAAAAAATTATGCTTTTCAATATTAGCCTATGAATACTAAACGATTTACGTAAAAATATTTTTCAAATCTTTTGAGTTTAGAAATTAAAGTTTCGTTAAGTTTTTTAAAAGTCCAAAAATTAAAAAAACTCATGAAATCAAATATTAGCTTATGTATACTAAAAGAATTTACAAAAAATATTTTTCAAATCCTTTGGGTTTAGAAAATAAAGTTTCGTTAAGTTTTTTAAAAGTCCAAAAATTTAAAAAAAAATATTGTTTTCAATATTAGCCTATGAATAGTAAAAGATTTTAGTAAAAATATTTTTCAAATCCTTTGGGTTTAGAAAATAAAGTTTCGTTAAGTTTTAAAAATTTCCAAAATATAATAAAAGTCATGGATTTAAAAAGTAACCTATGAATAATAAACGAATTTACTAAAAATATTTTTCAGATTTACTTTGTTTAGAAATTAAAGTTTCGTTAAGTTTTTTAAAAGACCAAAATTTATCCAAAATGATGGATTTGAATATTAGCTTTTGAATACTAAACGAATTTAATGAAAATATTTTTCAAATTTATCTGATTTAGAAAATAAAGTTTCGTTAAGTTTTCAAAATGTCCAAAAAATTAGAATATTTTCAGTTTTACACTTAAGGTAATGAATACTAAACGAATTTTATAAAAACTCTTTACAAATCCCTTTAGTATGGAAAATAAAGTTTCGTTAAGTTTTGTAAATGACCAAAAAAAAAAAAACTAAAAATGTTATGGGTTTGAATTATTAACTTACAAGTTTAGCATATTGAATTACTATATATTTTGTTTTCAAATCTGTTTAGTTTAGAAAATAAAGTTTCGTTAAGTTTTATAAATCTCGAAAATAGGTACTTCAAAATTTTACAGTTTTGAATATAACTTTATAAGTTAGTAGAGGAATATACTAAAAACAAAATAAAGTTTCGTTAAGTTTTTCAAAATTACACTTTATTCAAAATAAGTAAAATTTAAAGTAGTTACTACGTTTTAGTTAAGTTTTCGCATTATCAAAATTTCAACATTTTACAAATTTAACATCAATTCTCGGAATTTTCTACACAAAATCTTCTTTTTGCCTGCAATTGGTCGGTCAGCTTATTGTCTTTCTTTCATTATTAGTCATGACAGTCAATTTTACAATACAAATTGCGTTTTTGTCTTTAATTTGTTTTTGTTTAACTAAAATCACGTCATAGCTAAATTTGTTAAACAATTAAACAAAAACTACTCACTAAAAATAAATTAAAGAAAATTTAAATACTTTTTTAACATTTAAGCTAGTTAAAATTATCTTTTTTAAATGCAATTCAAGAAAAAAACATTTTTTTTCAAAATAATCAATAAACGCAGAATGTACACTTTTTTTCAGCTTAACAAAGAATGGCAGGAATACCGGCCAAAAAAAAAACAAGAACAATATTTAAAACAAAAACAATAGAATAAAATACATAATATAACAACAACGAGAACAAAAATCTTCTCCCCCTCTAGTCGTAAAACAGTATTTATTCTATTCTATATATTATAAAATCTCCATTGAACATTAGTAGAAAAAAACAAAACACATACAACACCCCTTTTAAAATACAACCCCCCTTTTTGAAAACCCCCCTTCTCCTTAACACTTGCTTACAACTTTTTCCATACAAATTTTTACTTTGATTTTAACTTCTGCATGCACTTTACAAGTATTTTCCTTTACATTTCTGTTGTTGTTTTTGTTAATACTTGCTTGCTTTTGTTGTTGCTTGTATACACTCTGCTATTGCAACCTGCCTGCCACCCACTTTTTCTTCTCTTTTTTTTCATTTTCATATATACAAAGCAAAATGGAAATTGATTTTTACTAAGGAAAAATTTTTTTTTTGCAAGAAAAAATTTATGTTTTCTTTTCATTTAACAAATTTTCCTTTTAAACTTTGTTATACCTTCAATTTGTTGTGGAAAATCCATGTTAAATATATTTAATTTTAATTATAAGCACTTTTTTAATAATATTTTAAGCAATATTTTAATAAATTTTACATTTTTCTTCAACACGTTAAGCACTAAAAGAATTTTTTCTTTCTTCAATATTATAGAGAGGCTGCTACTAAAGTGTATTAATACGGTGTGAATATACCACAACTACTGGCAATTGTTTTTGTTATTCAACTACCCAGCTGTCAAAATATGCCTCTTGTTTTTGTTATTAGCTCACTTAATGTCAAAATTTGTCTATCGTTTTTGTAAATGTATCGTTTTATAAAAATAATCAACTGAACTTATAAGGCCACCGTATTAATACACTTTGACTGCTACTAAATAGTTTTAATGTCACTACTTATTGTACAGAGTTGTACATAAATGGTAGCATATGTACATTGTTTATGTTTAGTAATGAAAATAGAAAACAACTATGTGTAAGGGGGAGAGAGAGAGCATGTTAAAAACAGGGTTGTTTTTAAGACAATATGATTAGCATTTCCGTTTTGTTAAAGAAAATCGTTAGAAAATATTGAGTATTTAGCAGACTATTATTAATTATTAAGACTAGCAGACTATTATTATTATTAAGAATATACATATAATAAATACTATAGTTTAATAAATTAAATACTAAATTCCGTAATATGTTTAAGTTTTGTTTAAAAATGCTTTACAATTAAAGCTAAAGCTGTATTTAATTAGAATTGAACCTGAACTAAAACTGAACTAGAACTGAACTAAAACTGAACTAGAACTGAACTAGAACTGAACTAGAACTGAACTAGAACTGAACTAGAACTGAACTAGAACTGAACTAGAACTGAACTAGAACTGAACTAGAACTGAACTAGAACTGAACTAGAACTGAACTAGAACTGAACTAGAACTGAACTAGAACTGAACTAGAACTGAACTAGAACTGAACTAGAACTGAACTAGAACTGAACTAGAACTGAACTAGAACTGAACTAGAACTGAACTAGAACTGAACTAGAACTGAACTAGAACTGAACTAGAACTGAACTAGAACTGAACTAGAACTGAACTAGAACTGAACTAGAACTGAACTAGAACTGGATTAGAACTGAACTAGAACTGAACTAGAACTGAACTAGAACTGAACTAGAACTAGAACTAGAACTGAACTAGAACTGAACTAGAACTAAATTAGAACTGAACTAGAGCAACTTAACAGAACAAAAATAACGTTTTTTTTTTTATTATTTATTTCTTGTTATTGTATTATTTAATTCTTATTTACAATTGTCAGAAAATCTAATGCCACAATAGAAATGTAAGTGTCAAATGAAAAAGAAATGTTAGAAAAAGAAACCTTAGAAATTAGAATTTAAATATTCCTTGATAGAACATAAACCGAAATAAAATAGCGGAAAAAATTTCAAACTAAAATACAGAGAAACGCTAAATCATTTTTGTACAAAAACCAAAAAAAAAAAAAATAAGCATTTAAATTTAAACAAGAATATTTATAAATCTAAATTAAAATAAAATATAAAAGAAAACGTTTTCCAATACAAATTTCAAATCTCAATATTTATACATAACAAAACTAGAAAAACGAAAACCTGATTAAATGTTTAAAATCACTTTAAAGTCTCACTATAATCAATTAATAAAATTTTATAATAACAAAATAGTAAAAACTTGCAAATAACCGTATTTGAAGATTATTTTTAACGAATTTGAAAAAAAAAACAATGTTTTCAATTTCAAATCAATTACAACAACACAAATTTCTAATAATTATAACACTTTATTTTTATCTGATATTTGAAAAATCAATATTGCTGTGCAATTGTGTTCATGGTTACAGGTAATTTTTAACGTCACCACCACCACCCCTCCTCCTGTATTTAGTATGTCTCCAAAAATAAATTTGTTTTTCAATATTTTCTTATATTAAAAATCACTTTAGGTGTTGACATTTTTTAATACCAATTTTTTATTGTAAATAGACACATGTCTAAAAATATCTACATGCGAATGAATGTAAATATGTATTTCAAACAAAACGTTGATTTGTTATTTTTGTATTGTCATAATGAAGGCGTGTTTGAGCACGATTCAATGCCCAATTATTGGTAAATCAGTTTAAAAAGTACCCTTCTTTATATCGGACAATATCTATAACTTTCTTAAAAATTCTTAAATTTAACTTTAATTTTATAAAATGCTAAATATTTCCCGCCAAAACTAATAATATCATTTAGTACATATACAGTGAATCAATTAAGTAATTTGCCTATGTACAATTTTATAAATTTTAAGAAAAAACTTTATCTGAACAATTATTTTTAGCAAAATAAAGCAATTTGCTTGTTGTATTTTTTAAAGAATATCTTATATTTTAATTTTCTACCATAAAAAGTAAAATCGTGATATTAATTAACGAGATTTTTGATAAAAGGTGAACGTATTGTTAATTTTTAAGGTCAATAAAGTATTTTGCTTTTTTAGGTTTTTTGTTCATTTTTTTAATATTGCTGTATTATTTTATAAAATTTAATATTTTTATTACTCCTATATATTAGAATAACATTTTTTAGATATTTTAGTAGTGGAACGACTAAGTTTGGACATTTCTTAACCGATTTATTATCCTATATACCTATAAGAATTTTTCAATATTTGACTTAACATGAAATCTATCGTTTCTTTGATTTAATTTCGAAAATAATAAGTAATTTTGAATTGGATACATGATATATTAGGAAATCAATAGATTTGGATCTAGAAAAAAATATTAGTGGGGTATAAATCTATAGATTATAACAAAAATAATCTGGGATTTTGGTCATTTTGTATTGATAAACAAAAACTACATTGCGGAAACCCCATCCATTTGGGGAGTACTGTGTGAATTTTATTTAGAGTTGTATAATATTGATTCTTATTCAATAAAGCTAACACTAAGTACCATCCTAGCCACTCTAAGTATGGGGATATCACCGTATACCACTATAGAACTATTACATGCTAGAATTTTGATATTCTACCTCATATTTTGAATGCATTATTTTATGAATAAAATACAGTAGGCGTAGCTGGATTTGGATAGTTATTCTTGATTTGGGTTCTAACTATATATAAGTGTATGTATTAGCTGAAAAATATTGCTTTTGTGGATCTTAGGTGATGAGAACCGCCTCTATTTGTAAATATCTAAATTAAGTATTTTTCCCGTACCACACGATAGTTCACTTTATATTCTTTCCAAGCAACCTAAGGTCTGTTTAGGGGTTTAAATTTAAACATAGTGTTCTTTTAAGTTCGTATATGGACTTTGGAGAAGATAAATGATGGTTTTAGCTTGGATACAAGTCGCTCTCCTTTGGCAGTTAAAGATTTTTAAAGACAACTCAGTGCGTTTTTTTAATAATTCTTTGTGTTATTTCATCAATTACTATATTTTTTATTTTTTAATGAATTTCATTGATTTATACTTGTTCTAAAAATCTAAACTAATTTTTTATATTGGAATTGCCTCATTATTTCCCTTTAAACATTTTTAACGCAAATAACTACACAGTTTCACACAATAACGATATGATTTTTGAAAATTACAATTGAAAAATACTTAACACGTGTCCTTTTAACAATAAACCAATAAATTCCAAAAAGAAATTAAAAAATAATTTGAAAAACCCAACGAAATTAACTGGAAATTTCAATATGCAAAATACTTTATTGACGTGCAAATTCTGATGAAAAATAATAAAATGCAACAACAAATGCACTAAAATTTTTATTTTAATATTTTTTTCTTGGTTTTCCCATTCTACACAATCTCTATTTTCAATTGGAAAACATAAATTTACTTTTTACCTGTTTTTTTGGATTTTATTTATGAACAAAAAACAAAATTCTCTTAAAAAAAGGTAGGCAAAAAACTTAGTTGATTCACTGTACATACCTGTCAAAATGACACTTTAATCAAAATTGTCAGACTAATGACAGCTTGTTGCATTAACATTGTTATTCAAATTTTACAAATAAATACGGCGTTTATAATTTTCATATCATATCTATAATTAGGAACAAGTAGAGATTTAAATATTCTTTACTGCCGTATCAATGACATTTAACTTTTTTACAATTCTTTATGTTTAAGCTGTCATGTTATTCTCGCTTTTGTTTTTATTGCACAAGGTTTGAAGACACATTTTTAAATGTTAGACAAAACGCAAAGAAAGCCAAAAGCAAAGTGTGTAAAACAGCATGTTGACCACCACATCTGACATGGAAAAGTTGAACAGAATTATACAAGTTCTTCTTCAGTTCTAGTTCAGTTCTAGTTCAGTTCTAGTTCAGTTCTGGTTCAGTTCTAGTTAAGTTCTAGTTAAGTTCTAGTTCAGTTCTAGTTCAGTTCTAGTTCAGTTCTAGTTCAGTTCTAGTTCAGTTCTAGTTCAGTCCTAGTTCAGTTCTAGTTCTAGTTCAGTTCTAGTTCAGTTCTAGTTCAGTTCTAGTTCAGTTCTAGTTCAGTTCTAGTTCAGTTCTAGTTCAGTTCTAGTTCAGTTCTAGTTCAGTTCTAGTTCAGTTCTAGTTCAGTTCTAGTTCAGTTCTAGTTCAGTTCTAGTTCAGTTCTAGTTCAGTTCTAGTTCAGTTCTAGTTCAGTTCTAGTTCAGTTCTAGTTCAGTTCTAGTTCAGTTCTAGTTCAGTTCTAGTTCAGTTCTAGTTCAGTTCTAGTTCAGTTCTAGTTCTAGTTTAGTTCTAGTTCAGTTCTAGTTCAGTTCTAGTTCAGTTCTAGTTCAGTTCTAGTTCAGTTCTAGTTCAGTTCTAGTTCAGTTCTGGTTCAGTTCTAGTTAAGTTCTAGTTAAGTTCTAGTTCAGTTCTAGTTCAGTTCTAGTTCAGTTCTAGTTCAGTTCTAGTTCAGTTCTAGTTCAGTTCTAGTTCAGTTCTAGTTCAGTTCTAGTTCAGTTCTAGTTCAGTTCTAGTTCAGTTCTAGTTCAGTTCTAGTTCAGTTCTAGTTTAGTTCTAGTTCAGTTCTAGTTCAGTTCTAGTTCAGTTCTAGTTCAGTTCTAGTTCAGTTCTAGTTCAGTTCTAGTTCAGTTCTAGTTCAGTTCTAGTTTAGTTCTAGTTCAGTTCTAGTTCAGTTCTAGTTCAGTTCTAGTTCTAGTTCAGTTCTAGTTCAGTTCTAGTTCAGTTCTGGTTCAGTTCTAGTTAAGTTCTAGTTAAGTTCTAGTTCAGTTCTAGTTCAGTTCTAGTTCAGTTTTAGTTCAGTTCTAGTTCAGTTCTAGTTCAGTTATAGTTCAGTTCTAGTTCAGTTCTAGTTCAGTTCTAGTTCAGTTCTAGTTCAGTTCTAGTTCAGTTCTAGTTCAGTTCTAGTTCAGTTCTAGTTCAGTTCTAGTTCAGTTCTAGTTCAGTTCTAGTTCAGTTCTAGTTCAGTTCTAGTTCAGTTCTAGTTCAGTTCTAGTTCAGTTCTAGTTCAGTTCTAGTTCAGTTCTAGTTCAGTTCTAGTTCAGTTCTAGTTCAGTTTTAGTTCAGTTCTAGTTCAGTTCTAGTTCAGTTCTAGTTCAGTTCTAGTTCAGTTCTAGTTCAGTTCTAGTTCAGTTCTAGTTCAGTTCTAGTTCAGTTCTAGTTCAGTTCTAGTTCAGTTCTAGTTCAGTTCTAGTTCAGTTCTAGTTCAGTTCTAGTTCAGTTCTAGTTCAGTTCTAGTTCAGTTCTAGTCAGTTCTAGTTCAGTTCTAGTTCAGTTCTAGTTCAGTTCTAGTTCAGTTCTAGTTCAGTTCTAGTTCAGTTCTAGTTCAGTTCTAGTTCAGTTGTAGTTCAGTTGTAGTTCAGTGTAGTTCAGTTCTAGTTCAGTTCTAGTTCAGTTGTAGTTCAGTTGTAGTTCAGTTGTAGTTCAGTTCTAGTTCAGTTCTAGTTCAGTTCTAGTTCAGTTCTAGTTCAGTTCTAGTTCAGTTCTAGTTCAGTTCTAGTTCAGTTCTAGTTCAGTTCTAGTTCAGTTCTAGTTCAGTTCTAGTTCAGTTCTAGTTCAGTTCTAGTTCAGTTCTAGTTCAGTTCTAGTTCAGTTCTAGTTCAGTTCTAGTTCAGTTCTAGTTCAGTTCTAGTTTAGTACAAAAAGTAGATCTGTATCAGACAACTCTTCTATAAAAATGTTCTCTGTTTTAGGCAGCTTTAGTTACACTAAAAGTTGTTCTGTCAGAGAAAATTTTCCTAAAGAAAATGTTGTTCTGTTTCGGACAACTTTTCTATGGAAAAAGCTGTTCAGTTTTGTGCTCTAATCGTTTAAGTTTTATTAGGAAAGTTGATCGATTTCTAACAATATTTCTATTCTCTTTTCAGAAATAATACCGAAAGTGCAGAATTAGTATCACATGTTGAATCGAGTTTATCATTGCCCGATATTTTGCCCACACCCTCGAAAACATATGATAAAAATCGAGCACCCAAATTACTGGGTCAACCGACAGTGGTGTATTTTCATGTGACTGTATTATCTTTAGATTCCATAAATGAGGAATCAATGGTAAGTTAACTATTCGGCTTCAAGTAATAAAAATAAATAATTTCCTTTATTCTTGCAGACATATGTAACCGATATATTTTTAGCACAAAGTTGGCGTGATCCACGTTTACGTTTACCTGAAAATATGAGTGAGGAATATCGTATCTTAGATGTGGACTGGTTGCACAGTATATGGCGACCGGATTGTTTTTTCAAAAATGCCAAAAAAGTAACATTTCATGAGATGAGCATACCCAATCATTATCTGTGGTTGTATCATGATAAAACGCTGCTGTATATGTCCAAGTAAGTGGAGGATGAAATATTTTATATTAATGGGGAAATTGTGGATGTTTTCTTTTTTCGATTATAAAGACTTACATTGGTTTTGTCCTGCGCCATGAAATTTGAATCATATCCCCATGATACACAAATATGCTCCATGATGATAGAGAGTTGTAAGTTTTTTCTTTTTTCGGAAATTTTTTTAAAGAATTGATACAATTTTAATTAAAATTTACTTCAAGTATCTCACACGGTTCAGGATTTGGTATTTATTTGGAATATGACGGATCCTTTAGTGGTGAATAGTGAAATTGAATTGCCTCAATTAGATATATCAAATAATTATACAACCGACTGTACCATAGAATATTCGACAGGTAAATTTGTCACACGAAAAGAATTTATCATCTATAAACCTAAAGACTTAAGCAACAAACCCATTAACCTTTAACAATTTCTCTCCATCTTTCTCTCATTTACGTTTTTTCATTCTCTTTTAATAAATTCCCCACCAGTTTGTGTCTTAAGTCTTTGGTTTTATTCTATTGTACTACGAATGGTTTAAAAAATAAATTTGATAAAATTTAAACAATTTCAAAGACACGATTAACTCAAATAAGTTTTTATTAAATAAATCTTGCAATTTATTTTCTCAAAAACTATTTCTGTTTAATTGCGCTACAAATTCCAGGCAATTTCACTTGTTTAGCCATTGTTTTCAATTTACGCCGCCGCTTGGGCTATCATTTACTTCACACTTACATACCGTCCGCCTTAATTGTTGTCATGTCTTGGATTTCGTTTTGGATTAAACCGGAAGCTATACCGGCTCGTGTTACTTTGGGTGTTACGTCTCTCTTAACATTGGCCACACAAAATACACAATCACAACAGTCACTGCCACCTGTGTCCTATGTTAAAGCAATTGACGTTTGGATGTCTTCGTGTTCGGTATTTGTGTTTTTATCTCTGATGGAATTTGCTCTCGTCAACAATTATATGGGTCCGGTAGCGACGAAAGCAATGAAGGGTTATTCAGATGAAAATATTACTGATATGGATGATTTGAAAGTAAGTGGGAGAAGGAAATAATGATGTTTGAATTAAACCAACTTTTTCTATAGAAAATTAGCCAGAATCAAAGCAACATTTTGTATAGAAATGATGTCTGAAACAGCAACTTTTTCTATAAGAAAGTAGTCTTAAACGGAACAACTTTTCACATAGAAATATTGGAAGAAATATAGCAACATTCTAGTTCAGTTCTAGTTGAGTTCTAGTTGAGTTCTAGTTCAGTTCTAGTTCAGTTCTAGTTCAGTTCTAGTTCAGTTCTAGTTCAGTTCTAGTTCAGTTCTAGTTCAGTTCTAGTTCAGTTCTAGTTCAGTTCTAGTTCTAGTTCAGTTCTAGTTCAGTTCTAGTTCAGTTCTAGTTCAGTTCTAGTTCAGTTCTAGTTCAGTTCTAGTTCAGTTCTAGTTCAGTTCTAGTTCAGTTCTAGTTCAGTTCTAGTTCAGTTCTAGTTCAGTTCTAGTTCAGTTCTAGTTCAGTTCTAGTTCAGTTCTAGTTCAGTTCTAGTTCAGTTCTAGTTCAGTTCTAGTTCAGTTCTAGTTCAGTTCTAGTTCAGTTCTAGTTCAGTTCTAGTTCAGTTCTAGTTCAGTTCTAGTTCAGTTCTAGTTCAGTTCTAGTTCAGTTCTAGTTCAGTTCTAGTTCAGTTCTAGTTCAGTTCTAGTTCAGTTCTAGTTCAGTTCTAGTTCAGTTCTAGTTCAGTTCTAGTTCAGATTCTAGTTCAGATCTAGTTCAGTTCTAGTTCAGTTCTAGTTCAGTTCTAGTTCAGTTCTAGTTCAGTTCTAGTTCAGTTCTAGTTCAGTTCTAGTTCAGTTCTAGTTCAGTTCTAGTTCAGTTCTAGTTCAGTTCTATTTCGGTTCTAGTTCAGTTCTAGTTCAGTTCTAGTTCAGTTCTAGTTCAGTTCTAGTTCAGTTCTAGTTCAGTTCTAGTTCAGTTCTAGTTCAGTTCTAGTTCAGTTCTAGTTCAGTTCTAGTTCAGTTCTAGTTCAGTTCTAGTTCAGTTCTAGTTCAGTTCTAGTTCTAGTTCAGTTCTAGTTCAGTTCTAGTTCAGTTCTAGTTCAGTTCTAGTTCAGTTCTAGTTCAGTTCTAATTCAGTTCTAGTTCAGTTCTAGTTCAGTTCTAGTTCGGTTCTAGTTCAGTTCTAGTTTAGTTCTAGTTTAGTTCTAGTTCAGTTCTAGTTCAGTTCTAGTTCAGTTCTAGTTCAGTTCTAGTTCAGTTCTAGTTCAGTTCCAGTTCAGTTCCAGTTCAGTTCTTGTTCAGTTCTAGTTCAGTTCTAGTTCAGTTCTAGTTCAGTTCTAGTTCAGTTCTAGTTCAGTTCTAGTTCAGTTCTAGTTCAGTTCTAGTTCTGTTCTAGTTCTGTTCTAGTTCTGTTCTAGTTCAGTTCTAGTTCGGTTCTAGTTCAGTTCTAGTTCAGTTCTAGTTCAGTTCAATTTCAGTTCTAGTTCGCACAACATTTCCATAGAAAAAGTTGCTCTGTATCGACTCTATAGAAAAGTTATCTGTAACAGATCAGCATTTTCTACAGAAAATATCCCTAGAAAAGATCAACTTTTTCTAAATAAACTTTTTATAGAAATTTACCTCTTTTATTTCCAGTATCATCATCGTGAATCGATAATTGAACCACAATATGATACATTTTGTAATGGTCATGCCACAGCGATATATATTGATAAATTTTCCCGATTCTTTTTTCCATTTTCATTTTTTATATTAAACATTGTCTACTGGACGACATTTCTGTAATAATTAAGGAAAACATTTGTAAAATAATCAAACACACAATAAAAAAAACACACACACACACATTTGTTTTAAAAATGTTATTTAAAAAAGAAAACACCAAAAAGTTGTTGATTTGCATTAAATAGAAATAATTTCTTTTGTTTATTTTTCAAAATTTACTAAATTCAGAGTAAAATATTTAAAAAGAAAAATCATTACAACTTAAAAGAAAACTAAAAACGATAAATGATATATGTGTAGGTAATATATAATATATTTCTTTAACCGATTCTTTGGCATAACATCGAGTATAAAGGTTTTTTTTTTTTTTTTGAAAAAAGTTAAAGTTTGACAAATATTTTTTTTTACTATATAAAGGATACATTTAAATTATAAATATATTTTATATATATATTTTTTTAGTTATGTTAAACAATTTTTTTATTCATTTATTTAAGGATTAATCACATTTAAAGACATGGTAGATTTTTATTTAATTTGTAGGTATTCATTTTGTATATTTGCTTTAGAAAAAATCAGGAGGTATGTTTAATTATTATGTTTTTTTATGAATATAATAATATAAAAGAAATTTATTAAATTAAAACTGAACTCAACAGAAGTTAAAAGGGGCTTAAACAGCAATTTAGCTTTAGTAAACTAGTTTCTTTCTTCTTCAATTATTAAATTAAATAATATCAATTACATAAAGTGTTTGTTATATAAAGTGGAAGATTTTTTCTTTTTTTTTTTCTTTAGTTAATACAAAAACAATAAACAAAACAATACTTATAATAATAATAATAATAGTAATAATAAAAAACCAACTATTTAATATGAATATAAATACATATTTTGCATATTGCAACGGAAATGCTTTGTTTTTTTTTTCCTTTCTTTATGTTTTTTCTAAATTATATACACAGAAAATATATTTGTTAAACAAAATTTGTTTTTTTTATATATAAATCACTTAAAACAATAACAAAATCTAATCTGATCGTTAGAAAATACTCTCATCTTCTGGCGTGTACATGTACAAATTATTAACTAGCAAAGTAACTAAATCAATAGCGTTTCTTTTTTTTTTGTTGTTAAGCATGTTTACTGTAAGCAAGCTTGTATTTTCTCGATCCATTCTTGGGCTAAATTAGCATCCATGGCATATAAATTATAAGTGCGTCGACATGTTTTTAACTAAAGAAAAGAGAAGGCAATTATTTCATAAATATAAATTTTCTTAAGAAATGGGAAAAAACTCACATCAAAGAATCCCTTTTCGTCCACACGTTTTGTGCCAATTTGTGTTGGTTGTGCGGCAGTAACAGATTGAACTTCGGCTAAATCTATAAATGAAGTTTATGTAAGTAAATAAAACAACCAAGAAAGAGAAAAGTTCTCATAAACAACTTTTCCTATAGAAAGGTTGTCAAAGCAACTTTTTCTACAGAAAAGTTGTCTCAATCGGAACAACTTTTCTCTATAGAAAAGTTGTCTGAATCAGAGCAACTTTTTCTTAAGAAAAGTTGTCTGAATCAGATCAAATTTTTCTAAAGAAAAAAGATTCAGAGCAACTTTTTCTAAAGAAATGTTGTTTGAATCTGAGCAACTTTTTCTAAAGAAAAGTTGTCTGAATCAGAGCAACTTTTTCTAAAGAAATATTGTCTGAATCAGAGCAACTTTTTATAAAGAAAAGTTATCGAAATCAGAGCAACTTTTACTAAAGAAAAGTTGTCTAAATCAGAGCAACTTTTTCTAGAGAAGTTGTCTGAATGAGAGGAACTTTTTCTAAAGAAAAGTTGTCTGAATGAGAGGAACTTTTTCTAAAGAAAAGTTGTCTGTATGAGAGCAACTTTTTCTAAAGAAAAGTTGTCTGAATGAGAGCAACTATTTCTAGAGAAAAGTTGTCTGAATAGAGCAACTTTTTCTAGAGAAAATTAGTCTAAAAACTGAGCTACTTTTTCTAAAGAAAAGTAGTGGAATCAAGTTTTTCTGCACCTAGAGAAAAGATGACTGAATAAGAACAACATTTTGTAGAGAAAAGATGTCTGAATCAGGGCAACTTTTTCTGGACAAAAGTTGTTTTCATCACAGCAACTCTTTCTTTAGAAAAGTTGTTTTCATCAGAGCAACTCTTTCTTTAGAAAAGTTGTCTCAATTAGAACGCTTTTTATAGAAAAGTTGTCGCATTCAGAGCAACCTTTTCTGTAGAAAAGTTGTCTCAATCAAAGCAACTTTTTTATAGAAAAGTTATCTGTAACAGAGCAACGTTTTTATAGAAATTGTCTCAATCAGAGCGACTTTCTTTTATAGAAAAGTTGTTCAAGCAACTTTTTTAGAGAAATATTAAAGCAACTTTTTTAAGAGAACAGTTGTCCGAATCAGAGTAAGTTTTTCTAAAGTAAAGTTGTCCGAATCATAACAACTTTTTCTAGGGAAAACTTGACGGAATAAGTGCAACTTTCCTAGAGAAAAGTTGTCTGAAACACAGCAACTTTTTAAACGAAAAGTTGTTTGAATCAGAGCAACTTTTCCTAGAGAAAAGTTGTCTGAATCATAACAACTTTTTGTAAAGAAAAGTTGTCTGAATCATAACAACTTTTCCTAGAGAAAAATTGTCTGAATCATAGCAATTTTTTCTAAAGAAAAGTTGATTGACTCAGAACAACATTTTCTAAAGAAAAGTGGATTGAATTAGAACAACTTTTTTAAGTAAACTCGACGGAATCTGTTGTAAATGTTTGATTATTTACCTATAAATCCCTTGCATGTAGAATCCTCTGAATCATAATAACGTAATTGATGTTTTATGGAATCCAAAACAAACCAACGTTGTTTCCAGTTTTTCAACAAGGCACCACGTTTATACAGATGTCTTTAGAAAAGAAACACCAAAACATTTAATATCAATTAAACGATATCATAATAATAATAACAATTCCAACTCACCCTTCGTGTGTACGATTTTCAGCAACATTACTACTAAACTGATTATAAAAATGATGTGATGAGGTTCGAGCGGTAGTGGCGGCACTAGAAGCAATGCTTGAGGTATCACCTTGTGATATATTAACATTTGGCGGTACAACACCTTCGACCGCTTTATATTTAGTGCAATTTTTCAATGACAACTCCGTACAACGTTCATGATAAGAATTACCGCAATCCATGCACCGATAACCCACTGGGCCCCATAATAGTTTCGTACAATGATTACAGTTGGTGGGTGTTGTATAAGGATGCTTTTCGAAACGATGCGGATGAAAGAATTTATCCTGATAACCTGTCAAACGGCCTTTCATAATAATTTCCAGTGTTGAACGTTTATGCTGCAATTTGCCATGATAGAAAATACTGCTGAGTGATGATTTGCGTTCAATACGTTCGGTACGTGGCACTTCTAGACTCGACCACACCTGTTGCCATTTTTGCGGCAAGTGTCCGCGTTCCGTTTCAGCCTGTTTTACCTCGCTCAGTAGACAAACAAAAGTATTGGGATCGGATTTTTCTATGTTATCATAACCAGCTGATATAACAATACGTTTGCCTTTTAGCTCGGATAAATCGAGTTCATCATCTGCATTGGTTAGCTCTAGATCGTAGGGTGGACCCTGAGCTAATTCTTCGTTGGTATAGTAAGGCCACAAATCTAAGGCAGCAGCACAACTTTGTGGTCGCAGAACTTCGTCTTGTTGGCAATAAATGAAATTATAAAAAATTTGAGATTTCGAATGTTGACGTTCGATATAATCGAATATAGAGTGGCCAATGCGATTAAAGTTGACCAAAGTTTTGCTGCGCATATCGACAGGATAAACACCGGATTCGTCATCAGAGCCATTGTTGCCTATGTAAATATAATAAAAGGTGAAAAAAGGGATTAAATAACATTTTCTAGAAAAAAAAAAACGTCTGAATCAGATCAACTTTTTCTAGAGAAAAGTTGTCTGAATCAGAGCAACTTTTTCTAGAGAAAAGTTGTCCGAATCAGAGCAACTTTTCCTAGAGAAAAGTTGTCCGAATCAGAGCAACTTTTTCTAGAGAACAGTTGTCCGAATCAGAGCAACTTTATTTAGAGAACAGTTGTCTGAATCAGAGCAACTTTTTCAAGAGAAAAAGATCAACTTTTTCTAAAGAAAAGTTGTCTGAATCAGAGCAACTTTTTCTAGAGAAAAGTTGTCCGAATCAGAGCAACTTTTTCTAGAGAAAAGTTGTCCGAATCAGAGCAACTTTTTCTAGAGAACAGTTGTCCGAATCAGAGCAACTTTATTTAGAGAACAGTTGTCTGAATCAGAGCAACTTTTTCAAGAGAAAAAGATCAACTTTTTCTAAAGAAAAGTTGTCTGAATCAGAGCAACTTTTTCTAGAGAAAAAGATCAACTTTTTCTAAAGAAAAGTTGTCTGAATCAGAGCAACTTTTTCTAGAGAAAAGTTGTCTGAATCAGAGCAACTTTTTCTAGAGAAAAGTTGTCCGAATCAGAGCAACTTTTTCTAGAGAAAAGTTGTCCGAATCAGAGCAACTTTTTCTAGAGAACAGTTGTCCGAATCAGAGCAACTTTATTTAGAGAACAGTTGTCTGAATCAGAGCAACTTTTTCAAGAGAAAAAGATCAACTTTTTCTAAAGAAAAGTTGTCTGAATCAGAGCAACTTTTTCTAGAGAAAAGTTGTCCGAATCAGAGCAACTTTTTCTAGAGAAAAGTTGTCCGAATCAGAGCAACTTTTTCTAGAGAACAGTTGTCCGAATCAGAGCAACTTTATTTAGAGAACAGTTGTCTGAATCAGAGCAACTTTTTCAAGAGAAAAAGATCAACTTTTTCTAAAGAAAAGTTGTCTGAATCAGAGCAACTTTTTCTAGAGAAAAGTTGTCTGAATCACAGCAACTTTTTTCTCTAAAAGTAGCAACTTTTCTAACTAAAATGTTTCTCAATAAAAACTAGACTTACCTTTATTACTTCCAATCAAATGTTTCGACGACAATGTACTTCTCTTATCCTCCACCGATGTTATGCCCATATCAAATCTCTCCACCTCACAATCGAATAGGAATGTGCGAAAACGACACGATACCGTGTGATAGGCC